TCCCCGCAGCCGCGCCGGCCGCGGGGCTTTGTGGTTCGCCGGTGCTGCTGGGCCCCTGCTGGGGGTGTCGTTACGAGCATGTGCAGACAGCAGCCCAAGGTAGAGCGAGCGTGTCGGGCCAGCCCGAGACTCGCCTTGCAATGCCATGTTTGTGTGCGCGCTCTAACTCCCTGAGAGCAGTCAGGGAGACGGCTTCCCGGCCGGAGCTGGCTGATGTTTTCTTGTTTCTGTTTCAGCCTTCAGGATAATTCCTTCAGCAGCACCGCTGTAACAGAGTAAGTGATTCTTGCCATTGAAATGAGACTTGCATGCCTTTCTGTGGAAGCAACTATCATGAAGGTATCCACGGTCCCCAGCCCCTCTTCGTATTAGATGTATTGTCTTCCCGAAATCTGGGCCAGCGAGGACCTAGGAGAGGCCTGTTGACTGATGAGAACCAGAAATCTTTACAGGATAAAATCAACCTTTTTAACAGCCGGGCAGATGTATTAAAACTAGTTGATGGCTTCCAAGAGCTCAATGCTCAAAGATATGTGTTCTTAAAGCTCAGATTAAAAAAAATCAAAAAACAAAAAAACCTATCTGACATGTCAGGAAGGGAGCTTGGATGTATTTTGCCAACATTAGTGTCAGTTTTCATGGAGTGCACGCTGTATACATTTACCGCAAATAGGAGATAGATACAAATGACTTGAGTTTAATTTCAGCCTGTGATAAACAGGCTAAAGTTATCCTCACTCTCTGGTGTCTACAGATTTTTAAAACACAGAGCAGTAAACTTTTTTTGCATTCCCTTTGTCATTTTTGTCTTCTAACATTAAAGATGTGACTGTAGGAGGAATGAATGACCTGGACCTAAATTGAAATTTATTGATTAGGGCAACTAACACCATTTCAATAGGAAAGAAAGAGTATATGCTTTACTCCGAGACTGGTGGGCACAGGATTGTTGTATTAGATACTTATAGTTCCTTGTTTTAATTGTCATCCCTTCCTTAATGTTTTCCCAATATTATAAATGTTAAAAATTAATAGCATCTTTTCTTAATACTATATGCAATACTATGTATACGTGTACTAACTATAAATACTGTACATCATCTAACAATCTTTCTCTAGCTAAATTCATGATGTTAATTCTGAGAACCCTTTGCAGAAGTCATTGAAAAGTTTTTTAGAAAAAAGGTGTGTGTAAAGTTGTCTGCTCAACTACATTTAAAAAATATAGTAAGTTTGATACAGAAACCCAAGTAACTTGGGAGCTCTTTGCTAAAGTTCCCTAAAAAACAAATAAATGTGAAACAGTATTATTTGAGTTTCAAGTTCCAACACTGTCACAATGACTTGGTGACAATAACTTGGAGGTGTAAGCTTGTAGAAGGGGTAAGAGTGTCTCAAAGGCCCTCTTGTTTCCTACATTCTTTTGTTTCTCTGTTTGGATTGGTCCTGTCTTAGTGTATCTCTTTGAGCTCACTTAAGTAGAGTCATTTAAAAATTAAAAAACAAAAGCACTAGGGGTTACTTTAGAAGAAATACTCATTGGGACTTGCATCCTATTAATGAGATTGCTAAATAACCTGTGCTGAGATTTGCTTTTCTAAAGTCTGAATAAACAGCAGAGATCTGTGACCAAATCTGTAGGCCAAAGATGGGGCCTTGACTTCCTGGTTCAGGTCTGTCTCTTCCCCCTTGATGTGTTGCCAAGTGTTTGCTTCCTGGGCCTGATTCTCAGGATCCTGTGTGGCCATATCCCCAGAGTCAGTCAGGGAGCTAGCAGTTTCAAAATGGAGACACTTAGTTCCAGATTTCACGTGGAATTTATTTATGTTTTTTGTAAAGGTATTGTGGCTAAAAGCTGGGGAGAGTGTCACGCCTTGTCTTTGGACTCTCCTCAAGGAGTTCTGATTATGTAAGGTAGTGTTGTTACTTTCAGAGAAGTGACAGTGATTTATTTTAAAAGGCTCTGAGTGATAATTGGGATGCCATCTGGCTAATATAAGAATCTAAGGAACATACTGAACATTTACCGAAAGCCACATCGGTGTGCCACAGCACAGATTAGGTCGTTCAACACTAGTCACTGTCAAAGGCAGCATTTCGACTTCTGATCAATAGTAGGAACTGTGTCCCTTGGTTCTCTGGGTGTGACCCAGGGGCACTGCCTTGAGGCCCTGATGCAGCAGATGTCCCATAAATGTCTGGGTGAGGTCTTGACTTACACCCAAGAGGCACTTTCCTGTCATATGTTTTGGATCAAGAAATGTTCCTCTTTCCTCTTTCTCCTGTCCCAACCCCATTCCTACTTCCTCCTACCCACACCCACTGAAATTCCACCTGGACATGATTTCTTTTGGATTAAGGGCCCTAGTTGTGACCTTTATTAAAATGGAAATGGGGGCAGACCTCAAGTTGTCATGGCATTTTTAACCAGATATTCTGATCTGACAGAGTCCTGCTTGGTCACCTGGGGATCTTATATGAGTCAAATGGAAGTAGAATTGAGGAGGATTAAAAGACAGATTTCCTTCTCTACTTGTTTTTTCGGGATTAGCATCGTGAGCTCTGGACAAATTCAGTCATTTAAAATTAACTTTCAACATCACAGTGATTTTGGTCTTTTCTCATATACTTGTGGGATCTTTTCATGTATTATTTCTCTGTCATTTTCTTTATTGCCTGGCTAACTTGCTATCTGAAATGAATTCTAACTAGTTATCATTCAAAGCACTGCTTATCAAAATGAATTGAACATCACCATCCATAGGGAAAGAGGCTTGGAGCTTGTGACAAATACACTCCTAGGCTTTATTGCAAGGGTAACCCAGAATGGCCCAGTACTGGTCTTGGATTTGGAAACTTTAAAGTCAGAGTTTTTAGAAGCTTATCAGTTATGTGGATGGGCAATCTGGTTTAAAAATTTACAGTGCCAAGCCCTACCCAAACAGAATTGTTGTAGGGGCTGAGGTCAGAATTCGATGTTAGAATCAGTTACAGTATTCCTGGTAGTATAAATGCAGATAGTTCTGGGACCTCACACTGAGAAACCCCTCAGGAGGCTGTGCCTCTGCAAGTTTCCTTCAGGGAACATAGCACCATGTTGAATGGAATCCAACCCTACAACATTTTATTTAGCACCTAATCTGGGGCTGCTGTCTAATCAGAAAAGAGAATACCTCACAGATGGACACTTCTTATTCTAAGAAGTAGAATTTTCTTTCTTGTAAGCCATTGGGAGTATAGACTGAAGAGGTTGCTTCATTTTGGCCTTATACCCTTAGTGTGGAGGAGCAGACATAACCTAGGCTGCATTGCTTTAAGCCTTGAAATCCGAAGGCAATAATTTAGCTTTTGGCTGAAGGTTATTCCTACCTCACTGCACTGTAAGGCTGTTTTGGGATAAGGCTAAAGGGCCAGTGAGCTGTGAAGTACTATACACCTTTTTCCTGTTTGTGGTTGACAGAGTGAATCCAAATAGGAAAGAAAGCAACACCTTGAGAAATGATTGCAAGGGCGAATTTTCCATACATTCTCTGGGCAATCAATCGTACATGAAGGAGTCTAGAACTTAGGATCTCGTTGATGAGAACTACAAAGGAACTCATTTAATAGATGTGTCTTTCACTTTTTCACTATGAATAACCATGGGAAAAACATTCTATATTACAATCTAGTGCACATACACATAGGTAATTTAAATGAATTCCATTAAACAGCAATTAATCGTTACTATTGTGTGACAAGGTTAACACAAAATATGCTGATAGCTTTGTGCAGTTTCAAGAGCCACTGACAGATCACAGTGTGCAATTTAGAAAACAATGCATTATATTATGCTTAGTTTTGAATATCTCAGATGGAGATCATGAAAGGTGTTGGTCTTTAAATTCCTGTGCAGGGCTATAGTGCAGGAAGAGAACTCCAGGCCAGGGAGCTGAACACTTGGTCGGAGTTAATCTAGTAATAGGGATATCTGGATGTGGGTTTCCACTGTGGAATCCAGTTTTATAACAGGACTGGTATTGTACATTTGCAGGACCTTCTGGGGCAAGGACAGAAAGGATATGCTAGTTGAGGGAAAATAGATGGTACTTATCAAAATAACTGAAAATGCCACCGAACTAAAAGACCTTGTATGAGTGTAGTTTGTAAACCAGGAGGGAAGTCTAGTTCAATTGCTGAACCTTAGATCATAGATTTGTGTTTCTTTGACTTACAAATGGAATTGTCAACAGGTATTAAAATTGGATCTACCAATCTTGTCCAGCCTCATGCTTCAGAAAGCACCCGAAACTTCAGTTCTGGTGGTGAATTTCCATTTTTCACTGATTATATTTTGAGGAGAGACATTAATAAATCAAATGAGAGAAAAATATGCAAAATCCTCAATTAGTATTGTTGAGCACCAGGTTTGATTCTTAGGATGAGCCCTAATTCCTCTGAAGCAGCAATTCTAGATTTTTGTTTTTCATAGATTTTTCTAGTTTGCTGTTGGAAAACATTATTCATATTGCAAAGCCCAGATGATACTTCGGGCAAATGCTGCTGATGGAGTAAAACAACACAATACTTGTGAATTTAATTGTCATTTTCAATGAGATGGATAGAGTGGGTTATTGGCAGTAAAACAAAACAAAACAACAAACCAAAAACCAAAAAGCACGAGTAAGAAAATTTAGATGAGTCAGTTAAAAGAATACTTTGTTCAGTCAGCTGATTTTTAAAAAAATTTCTAGAGAGAATAAAATATTTCAGCAGGTAAAGAGAGCTAGAGTCTGTAGGTGGCCTTTGTTTAACTCTCTACAAAAGCCATAATTTAAAAAGAGATTTTAAGAGAAGGGAAATGGAGCTTTCATCAAGACATTTTGTGGACTAATTATATACCAGTGCTAGTAAAGAAAATTTAAAGTTTTAGATTATTTACTATATATATAATCACTATAGTGTGATTATGTTTGTTTATGTAGATTTTTATATGTTTATTTTTGCTTACTTATTACAGTGTGAATTTCTCAAATCAGGGCCGAGATTGTTTTAAATTTTTGTCCTTCAGAAGCAGTGTTACTCGAAGTGTGGATATCCAGATTGTAACTTGAGACAAGAAAACAACAGAAATAGGCAGTAAGCTTTCAATAACTTTAATAGGAATTTGACATTGCTATGACATTTTTATGAAAATATTTGCCCACAGTGGACTGGGGAAAAAACACCAGTCAGTCCTGAATCTCTAGAGAGTTTAAGCAGTATAGAGCCAACTATGCTAATTTAGTTCTGGGGATACACTAAATACTCAATAAATACTTCCTAAGTCATTCCAGGAACAGGACCCACCGAGAGAATAAAGTAAATATTTTAATTCAAGTATTTTTGAGTCTTAACTCTGAAGTAGCACTGTGGCTGGTATTGTAGCAGTATGTCTAGAAAAACAAATTACAGCTATTTTTACTCAAGGAATAAGTAACCAATTAAAAAGATCTCAGAGATGCAGAGGATTACACAGCAATGTGAGGCAAGATACAGTTTGTTACCACAACCTCAGGATGAAAAGTAAACCTTTATGCATCAGAGTGAAAGTAGGAATGTGGCTTTGTGTGAACTTGGCTGGGAAGGTTCACAGAGCTGATATAACTTAACCTGGGCAGTCAGTGAAGGATGAGTAGAAACTGAAGATGGTTTGGGTACAGCAAGGCAGGGATGGCTGAGAACAGAACAAAGGCTTCCTCCTACCCTATAGTGACAGAATTGTCCTAGCCCAGAATCTGCTAGGCACAGTGAAGCACTGGAGATCATTCAACATGAAAGAGCCAAGATTTTTTTTTTTTCATATGGTTAGTTCAGAAGTTTGGTAGAAAGGAAACATTTTTTACATATGCAAAAGCAAGTCCAAGACCAATAGGGTTAGCCAAATGGGGTTGGGGGTGGTTTGAGACTACTCAATGCAGAGAAAATGCCAACATATGCGTAGTGGAATCTCTTTTAAACCAACAATAATCCATATGTCTTGTTGCCTGATGTGACTGTGATTATGTAGGTTGTCGTTTGCCTAGATGATATCTGCTAAGCAAATGGAGAGTCATGTCAGGTTCTGAGCTTGTGAACTCACATGCTGTGCAAAAGTTGGTATCGTTTCTTGGTGGTCATTTTGTGAATAAAAGCAGGTTTGGAAGGAAATGATAAAGATTGTTACATATTTTTGGCTTACTATGCTAATCTTGAGATGATTCTAGTTTATTGCTGCTACTGCTATAACAGACAGCTGGATCTGACATGATTTGTTCCCTTCTTCCCAGGTGTGACGAAGATATAGTCTCTCTTCATGAAGACCAAACTGATTGCTCTAGTCTTAGGTATGACCCACCATTGCTTGATTCTCATTTGTATTTATGTGTCAGAGACAGAAACCATCAGACTCTGGAGTTTCTTTTTTGAGTTGAAATTATTTGTTTTCATGTCTCATCTCTCCTACTGAATTTTCAGTTCTTGCAGGAAGTTTTGTCCTGTCTACTTTTGGATACTATCCTTAGCACCCAGGACAGTGATTTATATGTGTGGAATGTTTAAGACATGCCTTTTAAATTGAAAATTATTCTACTGTTTGTGTTCCCAACATACACCCTAAAAAGGAGGTTCTACATTATTCATAAACATTATTGAATGTCTGGAGTATTGGCCATCAAAGAGCTCATGGTATGGTGAAAAACCTTTGCAGTTAACCATTTCTCTCACCTTTACTTTGTTTCTAGCACTTCCATGTACATTTTATCATTTAACCCAAACAACTGAAAAGAAAGGAAATATTTTCCTTCTCCTCCTATAGACAGAGAAAATGAGGCTCTGAGAGATTATAGTACATCCAAGACAGTGTAGCAGTATGAGGCAAAATTTGGACTCAGATGTGTTTAACTCTACAGTTCAGTTATTGGCTAACAACTTTTGTTGGAGCCTATTTTGTGTACCAGAAACGAGTCAAGACTTGGAATAGAGAGAGTCAAACAACTCTCTGCTCCCAGGAATTCAGTCTGCTGGAGGAGATAGACAAGGACACAGAAGAAGATGTCAGAGGGTGTACAGTGCTGTCATCCTAGAGGTAAACATGGGTTCATCTGGAAGAACCAAATAGCTCGGAGAAGTTTCTGGGATACACGTCTCAAGGAAACTACCTGTGGCCCCAGACTGTCTTTTTTGGGCACAAGTCTAACGCCCAGGAAAATATGATGCCACCAAGCAGAGGCAGCAGCTTACTGGCAACCCGAGAGAAGGTGGAATAGTTTGAGATGAAGGACCAACCAGCAGTTTAGGAGAGTAGAAACCCTGAGAATCGGGTGTGGGTGAGGAGGCAAGGGATGGTAAGAAATGAAACTCTAGAGATAAACAAAGACCCTTTCTCATAGGGTTTATGTGCCTTACTAAAAAGTTTGGAATTTATCCTGGAGGTATTGAGGACAATAAAAGGAACTCTCAGGGTTTTGTTTTGTTTTTTTTTTTCTTTCAAATAACCTGTTGGCTGAGGCTCTGCTGGAGGGAGACAATAGCCTTTATTCATTGGGTTGCAGCCCTGAGCCAGCTTTCAATGGGGGTGTTTCACAGATACCATATTACATCTGCGAGGTAGGCTTTACCCTCACTTTATGGGCAAGGATCCCAGAGTGTGATGATGTAGCCCAAGCTGCATGACTACCAAGTGGAAGCTGCTTTGGAGCTCTTTATCTTTCTCAGTTATAATTTAATCCACTAGGTAGCATGAAAAGTATAGAGAGAATCTGTGCTTTTCTGTATGGGGATCCTAATGAAACAATGCAATGTTAGCAATGTATTTCTAAAGATGATATTTGGAATCGGGTTGTACATTTGAGTTTGGGAAAAAGGTGTCTTTTGGTTCAAGTTGTTATCCTGTCTCCCAAGTCAAGGAGCTGAACATGACCACATCCGTGAATTTTGATGACTTGGAAATATGATATAAAAAACAAATTCAAGTATTACTTTGCCAATAAACTGATCAAAGGAGAGTCATTTTGGATATGAAAAACTACTTTTTGTTCTCTTATTCTTGAGAGTTCAGTCACCCTACCTGAATGAGGAACATTTAGGTAACTTTCCTTTCTCCCATAGGAATATATAATGTAGTGTATCCCACTATTTCATAATGTACTTTAAGTGAACTAGTGTAGTTTCTACTTCATGGTTTGATATTAATAAGAAAAAAATTTAACTGTAAATGATCATAAGGGAGGAATATCAACCAGTGTCACTGGAATTGATTTTTATTGTTGTTGTTGTTGTTACTAATACTGCAGAATTATTGTTATTATTTTATTTGCTGGGTCTGCCTTTGACAGGAAGCACTAAGATTTTCTTGGAATTTAAGTTTAATTCTTTTACATAGTTTTATTTCTATCCCTTGCTTATTGTCCCTGTACTATGTTCAGACATCTATTCTGATTTTTGCTTTAGTTTTTTCCCCCAGAGATTAAGTGGAGTTTATCCCCCAATGATACCAGTCTAGTGAATTTAATCTTTTTATTTATTCAAAAGGGTCTTAAGTGGTGAATACAGAAATCCATCATCTGCTGGTCTTGCCTCTTGGCTTTCTTTATATGTCCTTAAGGAATTGCTTCCAAGTGACCTTGCTAAATCTCTTTTATGGGTGCTCCTGTAAGGAGGCATAGGCAAACATACCTGGTAAAGTAGCTATTCCTAATGTATTGCACGATGTACGACAATCAGGGTTGATTCTATTGATTGTACAAGGAAAAGGTCTCATTGGTTATGCTCACAGTGTTTGCTCGATTCTTAACAAAATGAAACAAAAATATAGCTAAACTTAAATGGAACAAATGGCTTCAAATAGGAGTGTTACTATGTCAGTATTTTTGAAAAGGCAGAAATTAGAAGGGACTGGGATATTGTATTACATTTGATCTTTGAGTGAAAAGTACAAGTGCCACCCCAGAACTGAGACTATTAAGGTCACACCAGCCTACTGTGTCTTCTGTGATGATTCCACATAGGTAGAACCAGACCCCAGGATCTCTGACTTTGCATTTAAGGTATTAATCAGATGACCAGTAAGGTAAAATTAGGTCCTTGACATATTTTATAAAGATAACTTGTATCCTATCAAAATAGATCCCATTAAACTTTTAAATACCTCTGAAAGTTGTATCAAGATGATTAGAAACCAAGATTAAACCAGAGATGCACCTGGCTCCTTGGGGTCTGTGTGAACTTGTCCTTCTGTGGGCACGTTATTTAATCTCTGCACTTCAGAGTCTGAATCTATAAATTTGGGATTATAGCATCAAAGCTGACTTTCTCACATTATTATTGTGAGATAATGCTATATTGTATTGCATTTGATTTTTGAGTGAAAAAATAGTAATGTGAAGGAAAATATATGTCAAAATATCTTAAAGTGAACAATTTTTCAAAAATGATATTTGTACATAGTTACAACCACAAAAAGCCTTCCTTTACTCACAAAGACTGAAAGGGAAGATAAGCTGATATAAAAAGTAGATTCACATTTCTTAAATCATTGTTCCTGTAAAACTAAGTTTACACTAGAAAATTTGCTAAATAATATAACTAATGGACACTAATAATTTTTTTAAAAAAAAAACTGCTAGCTACCCTAAAAATAGAGCAGTTAATATTGTAGACCTTTCTTTTCCCACACAGATTTTCAGGGGGCCCTTGACATACGAATTCTATGAGTTCCCAAAGGCTGGTTGTAACTCAAGTTGGTTGTAAATCAATACAGCTGAGACCTAGATATTTACCTGGGTGGGTACGTGCTATAGATAACAAGAGGAAGATGAATCTTCCATTAACCTAATTAAACCAAGTTGTTTGTACGTCAGGGTGGTTGTAACTTGGGGGTCCTCTGTATTCAGTCTATGATGCTGTCTAAATTGGGTCTTTCCCTCGTAGAGATGAAAACAATAAAGAGAATTACCCGGATCCTGGCGCTGGAGTAGAGGAGCACGTACCCCCATCGCACGAGGCGCAGCAGCATGTAGAGCAGACCCTATTGGTGGACGGCTTGTTGCGACCCAGCATGGGCAATTTCAAGTCCCGGAAGCCCAAGTCCATCTTCAAAACTGAGAGTGGGAGGAGTCATGGAGAAAGTCAGGTATGGCTCCACGTCCTCAGGCCTCCGCCAAGAAGAGAGTAGAGGGCCCAGTCTAGCAGTTTGAGCGCGTTATTTTGTGAGAAGCATGCATGGTTAGCCTGAGACATGTGGATGCTCCTGCTGCTTAGAAATTGGATGCTCTGGGCCAGCTAATACCTTGGCACCCTTTCAAAGTGGTATTCTTAAATACCCAGCTTTGATTGACAGGAGCAGCTTTGCTCTTTTGAAGGGAGTGGCAGAGGAGAATCTGACTGCCCTACTTCATCTGGGGCGATGTAGCTCTTACCCCACGTTTATACTCAGCAAAACCAGAAGACCCAGTGTGACGCAGTGCCTACCCTTGGGTGCAGTATAATAACCTTGAAAAAGTACACAGGCGTGTACACACACTGCATGAACATGTTATAATGGGTTCTTTGAGGTCCGTGAGTATTTGAGCGAAATGATGCACCATCTTTCCAAACAGATTATGGTAATCAGTTGACATTTTATAAATTAAAAAAAATTTAGTAGTTGTCTATGAATGTAGCAAAGAATATGATTATTTAAAAATTTAGACATACCTCATGTAATTTATGCTGCTTTTAAAACAGATTAAATGAATATAATCTACTTTGGTTTTATGAGGAAGTTAGTATTTCCAACACTGAGATTATACTTTTAATTCATCTAACAGATTTTAGAACATAGATGCTCCATAAACATTAGCTTTGCTTTTTAAAATAAAACATTTAGATGTCAACCTTAAAACTAATGTGAGAGGCTCTACGTGCTATAGGTTAATTATGTAGTAACTTTTAAACCCATTCCTACTTAGCAGACGGGCACTAAGTGAACTTTGTGCTGTGATAACATTGGCTGGGCAGCTTATTTGACCTTGAAATTTTGTTATGTATGTTGTGGTCACTAACACCATTCTTCCTTGTCATTGTGACCTCCTATTTATTTTATTTTGCAGGGAGATTTGCATTTGTGAAGCTGTGTTGTGATTATGTGAAACTGTACATAGCTCTTATTGCAGAGAGGTGATTGTGAAATGCCACTGGGTTACCATAAGCTCAAGACTGTTACTGAATGTGGTCTAGCATCAGTCTGACTAGGAGAGTTGTGCAGCAGAGGCACAGCTTTGCCAAGGGATGCCCCAAAGACTGGCTTATTGCTGGGAGGTTCTAACATTTAATCTCCTGTCGGGGGTCACTTGTGACACAGTGGGCTTCAGGGTGACCAGCCATCTCTCCTCGGAGTGCTCTTTTTTGTTTTCTTGTTGTCTGGGCTCACACAAATTATATAGTTGTCACTTCTAATAATGTGGTAATGGGGCATATAATTCCCAGTCTGACGCTTGTATACAGCACGATTAGAGCAGAGAGGTATGTGTGTATATCTGTGCTCATAGTACCTCCTGGAATAAGAGTAAAATGCTCAGTGGAATTTAAGTGGCCCATTTTATCAGATTCAGTGAGTTTCATTCTCAAATGCAGCATTGTAGGCAAGATATTGGTTGCATAATGGATTTTCTCAGCTATACTCTGGTTAAAAGGAAGGCATATTGTTATCGAACACATACAAATAACATTACCATAAAAAGAGTAAAGACATTTATTAACTGAACTCTGGGCTATTGAGACTCAGATAACATGTTTGTATATTTCATTTCAATTTCTATATGCAGTGTATACCAAAGTTATTCATTATAGATGAAATGGAAAGGACTTTTATTTTCAGAAGATTGAATATTAAAGCAATATGATAAACAAATAACTAGAATAAAAATTTCCTGATAGGTCTGGTCAGTCCTATGTAATTAATTCTTGTTCCTACGTATCTTGGGTTAGCAGTTTCATGAAGCTATCCATTTCCCCACCAAAGCTCTGCAAGTCTTTACTCAGCCTGGTGGTATCATCAGATGGCTGCATCTAAGGGTCTGTTTTTTAGTGTCAGTTGTTTAAAGCATTTTTTTGTCATGGTCTCCTGATATTCATTATTATCAAAGACAAAACCCTGCCCTAAAAAAACTGAGCTAAACTTTAAGCGAGTATTGGAGGAAAACCAAACTATTAGATGAAAGAAACTGAAATGGCTATGATCACTTTACTATTGATAAATTTAAAATGTGAAGAGTCAGGTGAACATTTATGAGAATAGTGCATAATATGACATGCAAAATAAGATAATAATATCATGCCTCCCCAATTAGACAGAATGTCTTGAAGAATGATGACTAAACCTATTTTGAAAGAGGTCAGGGACTATTATTTCTGATTTTATAAAAGTGGATTAATGTAGATTTTCTAAGAAAAAACTAACACACAACATAATGATCATAAAATATTATATCAAGAATGTCAAGAAAACATTATCTTAAGCCTGGAGTAGGCCCTAGACATTTTTATTATACTCTATAGGCAATCTGTCTTCCTTTTTACTAGGATGCAATGGGGGATATCCATATACAATCCACCTTTTCTTTACAATATTTTACTAGAGACTGAAGTTTTACTTCTCATGTATGTCTCAAAACCAGTGGCTTTGACTATGCTAGATTCAAATGGGCAAGTCAACATTTTAAACAAAAACTACAATTATGACTGATAACATGATAGTTTTGTAAAATATCAGATGAAGTTCCACAAGGACTTGGATAAATATAGAAGTTGGGGGAACTATTTCATAAAGGTTTCAATCAGGGAATCAATGTTACATTATTTAGAGTTACCATGAAGTATGGTAGAGAGAGTGGTTCTGTTTATAAAGTGGGATTCAAATAGGTGAATTTTAACCATCAATTCTATCTGATGTCTTTTGCCACCATAAAAACATTGAATTCTAACTTGTTTACTCTGAGATCATCATTCCTCAAAAGTACTTGTGAAGAACAAGCTGGAGCAAACTTTATGAATGTATAAACAACCTTTTTTAAAATGGAAGAGTACCACTATAGGGTTCTTTTTTTTTGCAGAATTTATATGCAGGACTCCAGAGTAGTACTTCACTAGGATCTTAATCAAGGGATACAGAAGGGAGAAGGAACCAGATAGTACTCTTGAAAGTTTGGCTTATTGTCTTCTTCAGATGAACTCCAAATTCAGAATTATCAGTTTCACTTCTGGTGGGTAACATTGGAATCTTAATTTGAACAACTCTTTTGTAATCTTGGCCTTGACCACTTCTATGACAAGGAACCATGAGTAGTAGGAGAATCTGAGATTTTATTTGCTGGTATAAATGACTAATTCTAGTTTTTTTCAGTACTGGGGATGGAACTCAGGACCTTGCGCTTGTGAGGCAGGCATGGTGCCACTGAACTAAATCCCTGAGTCCTGACTAATTCTAAGTTTACTTTGATTCCATTTGACCCAGCCATCCCTCTGCTAGGTATCTTTCCAAAAGAATTAAAAGAATCATATTACAGAGATACATGTGCATCTGTGTTTATAGTGGCACAGTTTCTAATAACTAAAACTTGGAAACAGCCCATTTGCTCATCAGTTGGAAACTGTATAAAGAAGATGTGGTTTTATGGGCTGGGGATTTAGCTCAGCAGTTCGGTGGGCTGAGTTCTGAGTTCAATCCCTGGTACCAAAAAAAAAAAAAAAGAAGATGTGGTTTTTCTATTCAATGGAATATTACTCAGCCATAAAGAATGAGAAATTGGATTCGTTCATAGGAAAATTTATACATATTGAGGATATACTCCTAAGTGAAATAAATAAGTCACACATGTGTAAATACCGAATAGTTTCTCTGGTGTGAATAAACTATAAGAGTACATAAGATCCTAATGGTATAATAGACAATGTGAAATAGGAAGAAAGGGGCTAAAGATGTAGGGAAAGTGGGAAGGGTAGGGGAAAGCTAATAAGGGAAAAGAAAAAATATGAGAAAATGAAGAAATGGAAATGAAGTGTTTGTAAAGGGGGAGGAAGGAGGGGTGAAGGGAGGGCAGGGAGAAGGGGAAAAAAAGAGAACCAAGGCCTGTCATGTAAAGGTACACAATCCCAATGATGAGTATAACTGTACTGTATACCTAAAATGTATCAATAAACTTGATGAGGAAAAAAAAAATCACACCTAAATAAAGACAATTACATTAATAAAAAAAATAAAAGGTAGGGGCTTTGGTTATATTTACTGATTGAACAGAAGACCAGAAATAATGAAAACAATTCAGGAATATCCTCTAAGAAGATAAAACATTTGGGATAAAGGTAGTATCTATTGAATCCGAACAATTTTCCTTTTTGCTTATCTATCCCTTTCTTCCTTAGACCATGGGCTTTGAAAAGAATAGTTTGACAATGAACTGTCTCCTGAGAGGCCAGCTTTGAGGAAAGCTGTTACTAGAGTTCATTGCTGATATGTTGAAGTTTAAACAAGATGCATGACTCCCTGCTAGGCATAATATCTTGATCCATTTAGAATCCAGTAACAATTTGCCCTTTCATATAGTATGTCATTATACAGAACATACTCTTTCCAAGGAGAAGAACTGATTCAAGGAATGGATTTTATCTTGCAGGATTTTGTGAAAAATTATAAATGAATCTGTAATTATAAATGAATTGCCATGCAATTCATAATACTAATTCTTGAAAACCTGACTTGAAGAAGATTAGGCGTGACTAAGAAACACCTTCGTATATTGAACCTCATAGCTGTCCAAAAGATATTCATCTTTAGCCTTGGTAGACAGAGTCTTCCCTACTTGCCATCTGGTATCGTGCACCATCCTTCTGTTTTTCCCTGCTGGTGGCTATTTTAGTAGAATACTAAAAGTTGGAGACAATTGAAAGAGCTTTTCTGCAGTGAGCTGTGTACTGTGATCTTTCCATTAATCCACTTCCTTGGGGTAGAGTGGCTGTTTGGTCTGGTGTACATCAGCATCAGGTTTCTTCCACTTGGCTCCAGTAGGTATGTTAAGAGACTGGAAAGAGGTCCAGGTCTGATTGTGAAATTTTCATTTTTATCTCTCTGCAGAAATAAAACCCTCTAAATACTTT